ATTACTCAACGAAAATCCGCCGCACACGTGAGTAAAATGACTCATGCGTCATTTTACTTGAGTAAAATAACTCACGTGTGCGCCGGGCTTAAGTAAGTCTACTCTCGCCAAAAATGTGCGAAATAAATTGATCTACTAATAAGTCTTAGACGGTGACGAGAATAACATTGTTGGTCTTATCGTAAATAACTTAAAGATTGACGTACGCGGCAAGGTTTTGCTGTTTTACAAGAAGAAAAAAACGTCTGTCTTTAAACGAATTATCGGCGATGCGTGCACTAAACGAGTAAAAAAAAACTTTATTCTAAAGCAAAAATTAGATTACAAATTAGAAATTAGATTAAACAGATTAAACAGATTACAAATTAGAAAACAAAAATTCTATTACAATATATCTCTGCCGTGTGTGATAGGCTTAAAATAACGGCCACGTGCACGCATGCATGCACACACGCGTGCGCGCACACACACACACATACACACGCATGCGTGCACACACGCGTGCGAGCACACACACACACATACACACGCATGCGTGCACACACGCGCGCGCACGCACGCATGCATGCACACACGCGTGCGCGCACACACACACACATACACACGCACGCACACGCACACGCACGCACACACACACACATACACACGCACGCACACGCACACGCACACGCATGCATGCACACACGCGTGCGAGCACACACACACATACACACGCACGCACACGCACGCGCACACACGCACGCACGCACGCACACACACACACACACACGCACACACACACACGCACGCACGCAGAGCTAGCTTGAAGGAGTGAGCGAGCACACACACACACACACACACACACATACGTACGCAGAGCTAGCTTGTAGGTGTGAGCGAGCACACACACACACACACACACACACACACACACACACACACACACACACACACACACACACACACACACACACACAGGAAGGCAGCGGGAGGGGAGGGAGAAAAGCAGGCGAGTAGGAAAGGAGAAACAAAGAGAGGGGCAGCGGGGCAGAAAGGCAGCGGAGCACGAGGCAGAGCAGGACGGGGAGGCGGGGCGCAGAGAGGGCAGGGGAGGTGAGGCGAAGAGTGGCAGCGGAGAGCGAGGAACGAGAGGAGGTGCAGCAGACGCAGGCTCGAGAGGCGAGGCGCAAGAAAGGCAGCGGTGAGGAGCGAGGGAGAGAGGTCATGTGGAATGCCGGATGAGGATGCCGGAAGATAGTGCTTCAGCCGGCGTTGATTGCAGTTGGAGCAGGCTCCGAGTGAGGCAGAAGGCGCAGGGATGGCATGAAGCAGCTGGGGAGAGGCCAAGGCGCCGGAGCACGAAGGCGAGAGGGAACACGAGTAGGATTAACACGTATCCTAACCATTCTGTTCGAAGAGTAGTCCAGTGTTAATCCAGGCACAAACTTGACGGTGCGGCCCTCTCCATTCGTGCCAGCCTTCGCTGGTTGATCGTTCCAGTACACGTTCACCTTAAGATACGCCAGGGAATGCCGACGAGAAACATTAATGAAAGGAATGCTGAACAGGGCAATGCGGAAATAACAGAAAGAAAAGTAAGCGCAGTGAAAGGAAGGAGGAGGTAGGAGTAAGGTCTAGTTCGAGCGGAGGAGGAGGGAAGCGAGGAGGAGAGCGAGGAGGCAGGCGAGCCGCAAAGGCAGGCCAGTGACGGCAGCAGTGATGGGAGTGAAGGAGGAGCCGCAGTGAGGATGAGAGGGCACGGTTGCAGGAGTGAGGAGGGAGAAGCAGTGGCACGGAGGGCAGTGAGGGTGCAGCGAGGGAGGAGTCGAGGATAGTAGCAGCGGAGGTAGGAGCGAGGTCAGGTGAGGATGGCAGGCCAGCCAGGAGGCAGCCGGCTAGCGATGATGACTTGAGGATGCGAACGATGATCGATTATGCATGAGGGTTGCATGATGACGTAGATGAAGACGACGGCCGTGAGAGCGACGAGGAGAAGAATATGAAGAACACAATAGAATGAAGAAGAAAACGAATCGAGATAAGAAGCAGAAAGTGGAAGAAGCAGAGACCCGCCCAACATGAGTATGATGCAGAATTTGGATGAAATATAGAACTTACGAAACACACAATATCACACGAACACATCAAATCTGACACAAACACAACAGTACACACACACACACCAAACACACAGGACACACACAAACACACAGATCATCACGAACATACCACTGACGGAACTAACACGAAATCACACAACATTCACACTAAAGTCACACTATCTCCACACCAAACAGCGACAAACACATCATAACACAAAAGCTACACAGACACACAAACACTACCTAAACACACCGAACACAAGCCACAACAAACACACAAAGATCTGACACAAACACATCAAGACACTCTTACCGAGTACACACAACACATCAATCAATCACACGAAACACAAGCCACACAGCACGCACAGAACACACAACACCACACCACACAGACACACAGAACCACACGCACACGAAGCACACAAACACACAAACACACACAATCACAACCAGTCACAAACAACAATCTAACACACAAACACAACCACACAGACAACACCAATACATCCACAAACACAAACCACACATGGACAACACAACACAACCACACGAACACACAGACCACAACAAACACCACAAAACACACAACCACAAACCACACAGAACACAAACACCACAAACACAACCACACAGCACACACAAACACAACCACACTGGAACCACACTAAACACGACAAAACAGCTAAAACACAACCCCGCGACGACCACAACCCCCGCGAAACACAACCCGCAAAAACACAAAACACCGGAAACACAACCCACACTTAGACCACACAAAACCACAACCACACGAACAACACAAACACACAAACACAAACCCGCGCGAACACAACCCCTGCCGCAGTAAACACAAATACGGAAAGACACGGTCCTCTAAAAACGCTTCGATTTTAATTCGTGCCTCTCTTTGAGCGACTACGCTCCATGCTTATTACGTCACCCTATCACGAGCATGTGCAC